GAGATTACATGATACAATTTTGTAAGACCAGTGACTTATTTATTGCAAATCCATTTTTTCAAGAAGATAAATGGCGACTATACACATGGAACACACAGTAATCTAATCAACTACATTTGTGGAAAGAGTTGATGGAGAAGCTCAATATCAGACAAAACAAGGTCAGAGACCAACTGTGCAGAAGACCATTAATTGCTCATAAGCAATTTCAGGCTAAAACTGAAGAAAAAGAAAACAAGTCCATAAGAGCCAAAATATGACCTTGAGTATATCCCACCTGAATTTAAAGACCATCTCAAGAACAGATTTGATGCATTAGACATTAATGACTGAAAACCAGAAGAACTGTGGGATAATATCAAGAACATCATACAGGAAGAAAGCTAAAGGTCATTAAAAAGACAGGAATGAAAGAAAAGACTAAAATAGATGCCAGAAGACACTCTGAAACTTGTACTCCAGAATAGAGATGCTAAAGCAAATGAAAGAAATGATGAACCACAATTGCAGAAAAATTTCAAGCAGCAGCTTGAGAAGATTAAATAAAACATAATAAAATGTGCAAAGACCTAGAGTTATAAAATCAAAAGTTACTTTTCAAGCTAAAAGGACTGAAGGAAAAATTCAAGCGTTGGGTTGCAGTATTGAAGGTTTCTATGGGCATAATATTGAATGATGTAGAAAACATCAAAAGAAGATGGAGGGAATGCAGTCACAATATCAAAAAGAAATGGTCGATATTCAGCCATTTCAAGAGTTAGTGTAAGATCAAGAACTGATGGTACTGAAGGAAGAAGTCCAAGCTGCACAGAAGGTACTGGCAGAAAACAAGGCTCCAAGAACTGACACAGTACAGATTAAAATATTTCGACAAACTAATACAGTACTGGAGGTCCTCACTTGTCTATGCCAAGAAATTGGAAGTCAACTAACTACCTGACCAACGGATTGTAAGAAATCCATATTTGTGCCCATTCCAAAGGAAGGTGGCCCAACAGAATATGGAAATCATTGACCAATGTCACTAATATCACTTGCAAGTAAAATTTAGTTGAAGATAATTACAAAACAATTGTAGCAGCCAGAGATTCAAAGCAGATTCAGATGAGGATGTGGAACTTCCTGATGTCCAATGGATCTTGGCTAAAAGCAGAGAACACCAGAAAGATGTTTACTTGTGCTTTATAGACTATGCAAAGATTTTTGGCTGTGTGGATCATAACAAACTATGGACAACATTGCAGAGAATAAGTATTCCAGAGTACTTAATAGTGCTCATGAGGAACCTGTACACAGACCAAGAGTTAGTTGTTCAAAACAAAGGGGAAACTGAATAGCTTAAAATCAGAAAAGGTGTGTGCCATGGTTGCATTCTTTCATTGTATTCATTCAATGTGTATGCTGAGCATATAATTCGAGGAGCTAGGTTATATAAAGAAAATTGTGGTATCAGGTTTGGAGGAAGACTCATTAACAACCTGAGATATGCAAAAGATACAACCTTGCTGGCTGAAACTGAAAAGGACTTGCTCCTCAATATAAAGAAAACAAAAATCCATACCACTGTACATAAAAAACATGATAAATGGAGAAAAGGTTGACGTTATCAAAGATTTCATTTTGTTTGGATCCATTATAAAAACTTATGGAAGCAGCAGTCAAGTAATCAAACGATGTATTTGCATGAAGCAAATCAACTGCACAAGACCTCTTTAAAGTGTTCAAGAGGAGAGACATCAGTTTGAGGACTAAGGTGTATCTGACTCAAGCCATGGTATTTTCAATAGCTTCACATGCATGTGAAAGTTGGGCAATGAATAAGGAAGACTATAGAAGAATCGATGCATTTGAGTTATGGTGTTTAAGACGAATATTAAAAGTACCATGGATTGCCAAAAGAACAAACAAGAAATACAGTCAGAATACTCCTTAGAAGCCAGGATGATGAAACTTCATCTGTCATACTTCAGACATATTATCAGTAGGGACCAGTCCCTGGAAGACATCATTCTAGATCAAGGGGAGGGTCAGAAAACAAGAGGAAAACCCACATTTAGATGGACTGGCGTAGTGTCAGTAGCAATGGCCTCAAGCTTAACAAAGATTGTGAGGATGGCCCAGGACCAGGACCAGGTAGTGCTTCATTCTGTTGTGCATAAGGTTGCTAAGAGTCAGAATCTACTTGAAGGCACCTAACAACAACAAAGTAACATCACTTACCTATTTCCTCTCTGTGTTTTGTTTCCATTTCTCCTTGTTTCCTAATCCTTCTGAATTTTGTTTCTGTAATTCTGCCCTTTTCATCCTCAATGGTTGATGATACCAAAGTGTGCATACCTCCCTAGTGTTATTGTTCCCCTTATGTTGTTGTTGTTAAGTGCCGTCGAGTCAGTTCCGACCCATAGCGACCCTGTACAGGGTTTCCGAGGGTGTAAATCCTTATGGGAGTAGAAAGCCTCATCTTTCTCCCGCGGAGCGGCTGGTAGTTTTGAACCGCTGACCTTAAGGTTCGCAGCCCAATTCGTAACCACTACGCTACCAGAGCTCCTTTAGACCCTGAAAATTGTGCTTGGGATGTATAGCAAGACTTTTTTTTACCTACCCTCCTATACTTGTGGTGGTGGGTATGTAATGTGGAGTCGGTTTCAACTCATAGCGACCCTGTATAGGGTTTCTGAGGCTGTAAATCTTTATGGGAACAGAAAGCCTGAAAAACATCCAGTTTAAATGCTACATGCCCTTCAAACTGCACTCACTACAGAGATTTAAATATATACAAAAAAAAGATAAAACAAAACCCCCTGCCATCAACTTGATTCTGTTTTCATAGACTGTAAATTTACATGTGTGGACAGCCTCGTCTTTATCCTGAGTAGTGGCTGGTGGGTTAGAACTCCTCACTTTGTGGTCAGAAGCCCAATAACTAACCCACAGTACCACTAGAGTTTATATATATATATATATATAATCCTGCTGTGGCTCTGTAGGATAAGCACTTGACCAAAGGTTGGCAGCTCAAACTTGGAAACCCCATACAGGGTTGCTATTAAAACAAACTCGAAAGCATCTGTTCTGACTCACAGCAACCATGTATAGGGTTTCTGAGATTGTAATCTTTGTGGGAGCAGAAAGCCTCATCTTTCTCCTGTAAAGCTACTGGTGGGCTTGAACTGATGACTTTGTGGTTTGCAGTCCAGTGTTACTTCCTTGGTGGTAGTAGGTCCCTCCTACATACTATGCCTCAATATAGCTGATACACGAGACTGAGTCAAAAATTATTTGCATTCTGGTTATACTAAAACGCCTGTTCGTGTCAACAACTGATGACAACATGGGCATGCACATGAAATGATTCTGTCGAATAAATGGGTGAAAGTGGATTATATGGCAAATAATCTGCAAATCAGCCATGGTACTGCCTATGAAATAATCCATGACAGGCTTGTGTTTTGAAAATTTGTATGAGATGGGTTCTGAAACAACTCACGGAAGAACATAAACAGAAATGTTTGGACATCTGCAAACAAAATTTGGACTGATACTCAAAGGAAAGTAAAGTTTCTTTGAAAATATTTTTTACTGGTGATGAGACATGGATTCATCACTATGAGCATGAGAGTAAATGGCAGAGTATGTAATGGATACAACCTCAATTGGTGAGCAAGAAAAAGTTCAAAAGTCAACCATTAGCTGGAAAATTGAATCTTACAGTTTTCTGGTATTCTCAAAGGCCACTATTGGAACACTATCAGGAAAAAACGTTCAACAATTAATTGTGCTCATTATAGTGAGATGCTCACTGAAGAACTGAAGCCTAAATTTAGGATTAAATGAAAAGACTGCTATCCAAAGCATTGTGATCTTGCATGACAATGCACATCCCCACACCTCTGCCTACACTGTTGACACTCTGCAAAAACTTTGTTTTGAGGTGTTAAAGCATCCTCCTTGTAGTCCTGAAAGCAGCCCTTCAAGGGTGAAGATTCACCTCTGACAAAGAAGTGAAGCTAGTGGTGCATTCGTGGTTAGCAGCTCAGCCTAAAACATTTTTTAATAAGGGGATATAAAAGCTTGTTGATTGATTAACAAAATGTATTGAAAAGCAAGGAGATTATGTCAAAAAATGAGGTCTTTGTCTTTTCTAAAAGTTGATTAAAATAAATTCTACAGCCAGAGTGCAGATAATTTTTGACTCTCTCGTAGTGGTTATGAATCGGGCTGCTATCCTTAAAGTCAGCAGTTCAAAACTACCAGCTGTTCCATGGAATAAAGATGAGGTTTTCTGCTACTGTAAAGATATACAGCTTCAGAAACCCTGTACAGGGTCACTATGAGTTGGAACCAACTCCACAGCACATATATACTGAGACATAATTCCCATACTACACATTGCCCCCATTGAGTGTAAAATCCAATGGTTGTTAGTATATTCAGAGTTGTGTAGCCATTGTTGTTGTTGTTAACTGCCACTGAGTCAGTTCCGACCCATAGCGACCCTGTATAGGGTTTCCAAGGAGACGCTGGTGAGCTTGAACTGCCAACCACAATCTAATTTTAGAATATTTTCTTCACTTCTAAAAGAAATCTAGATCCATGAACAGTCCTTGTTTTCTTCAAGCACCCATCAAGTACCAGTCACCATCAAGTCAACTAATGGCGACCGTACAGCCAGATAAGGCTGTATTTCATAGGATTTCTAATGCTGATTTTTCAGAAGATCCCCACGCCTTTCTTCCAAGGTACCTCTAAGTAGATTCAAACTCCTATCCTTGGTTAGCAGCCCAGCACCTTCACCTATTAACTTTTTGCACCACCTAGGGACTCATAGCCCAATCCTAGGTAATCACTATCCACTTTCTGTCTCTAAAGATGTGCTTATTCTGGACATTTCATGTAAATAGGGTCACATAAGTATGTAGTAAAGATATATTTATTTGATGGTGATACTTGTAATTAATCTCCGCAAACATTTTAACTGGAAAAAATTTAAAAATACATACATAATGAAGCAAGCAAGCCATCTGATTCTGCAACGTTTCCTATAAGACCCAAGTAGACAAAAGCACCTTCCTAGAAGAAAGAAAACAGAACCACACTCTAATTCAGCAGTGCAAAAAAACACTCCTTTCTATAGTACCATCCCTGTACCCACACCCTGGTCAGGGCTCTAAAAACCAAGCACCCACACAGCCCCATGAGGTGCAACCCTGAAAGGATAGATGTCTGGGGTTTGGAACTAGATATGCTCATATAACCAGTTGCCAAGTGGCGTTGACTCAGATTCATGGTGACCTTCCTTACATCTGAGTAAATCTGTGCTTCATAAGATTTCCTCTTTTTCATTAATAATTCATTTTCTTTTTGTTGCTGAGAATATACAGCAGAACATACATCAATTCAACAATTTCTCCATGTTCAATTCAGTGACACTGATTACATTCTCCAAGTTGTACAACATTCTAATCTTCTTTTTCTGAGTTGTTCTGGCCCTATTAGCCCCCTCAACTTCTTGTCAAATCAGTCAAGCTGATATTGTCAATTCTCATATAGACAGATCTTAAAAAAGCACAATGCTCAAGGCAGACATTCTTTACTAATTAAGTTAAACTACTGTTTGTTATTTTTTAAAATAATATTCTATGGTATTTGGGGGAAAGTTTACATAGCAAATTAGGTTCCCCTTTGACAACTTCTATACAAATTGACCAGTTATATATATATATTTTTAAGTTTTTATTGTGAGTTGAGTGAAAGTTTACAGGGCAGAGCATCAGTTCTACATTCAACAAATCATATACCTTGTTTCATTGCAATGATTATAATCCCCTCCATGTACCATCAGTTAACAGTATTTCTTTCTATTCACATTAGTTTTTTTTTTTTTTCCTTTTTTAAAAAACACTCAGGCATACATAATACTTTAAAGCACCAAGGGACACATTCTGCAAGTCTGCTTCCTGGTTGTCAGTTCTCAGTCCCTCTGTTTTCATAAATCTAGAGTCCTCAGCTGCTCCCTCTCTCCATTTCCCCATCTCTGCCTCCATCTCTGGTGTTGCTGCTTCTCTGGATAAGGTCTCTCATTCCACTTGTGCTCTTCTCCCTTGATGGTCCTAGGATCATCTGTTTCTGGACTGTACAAGTAACTACTCCCACGTTTTTGTTACAAAACTTCTACATTTACAATTGTGACAGTCGGTCAATTACATTTTCCACATTGGGTCAACATTCTCATTAGTGTGCTCTGGTTATTCCATTTCTAGTACTTTAGTTTCCCTGTTTCCTTACCTTCTCATCTTTACTTTGGATTAAATGTTGATGTATTAGTCTCATACAGATGTTTTCTTAGTAGAACACAAACCTAACAGATAACATCCTTTATTATTACTGTTTTTCACACAACCTAATTTTTAATGCAAGAGAATAAAGTTTAGTGAAAAAATAGTATCTCTACAGCTATATGTTGTGTCATCCCAGTTTTGCTAACTTTGTTCTAGGGGCCTACAGTATAGTGGTGATGTAACTGAAAGTTAGAGAAATCAGACTAACGTCTACGACAAGCCCAAAGTGATTTTACTAGGATGTTACTACTATCTGAGTAGTGTTTTAGTGATTGTAATTTTTGGTCTTATCTATAATGAATCCTCTTTGCTCTATGGAGAAGCGGTGGGTGTGATGGTATTCTGTCAAGTCATTTCGGCTTGTAGTGATCCTGTATAGGGTTTCCTAGGCTGTAAATCTTACAGGAGCAGAAAACCTCATCTTTCTCCGGTAGAGCAACTGGTGAATTCAAACTGCTGATCTTTCAGTTAACAGCCCAATGCATTATGCTACCAAGGCTCCTTCATTCTCCAACATTTCCCATCTCCTAGCTATTACTGCTAGGAACTTTCATGTACAAATTTTTGTGGATACATATATTTTCATTGATCTTGGGTATATACCCAAGGGTGTGATTGTTGGATCCTAGACAACAACCCGTAAGGTGGGTGGTTCAAACTCACCAGCTGTTCCTCAGAAACACTATATAGGGTCACCATGAGTTGGAACCAACTTGACAGCACTTAACAACAGATAACAACTACTAAGGCCAATGATGATGAAACTGAAAAATTCTACCAACATATTCAATCTAAAATTGATCAAACATGCCATCATGATAATTACGGTTAATTAGAATACAAAAGTTGGAAATACAGTGTAGGGATCAATAGTTAGAAAATATGGGACCAATAACAGAAACAATTCAGGGGATCACATGATGAATTTTGCAAGACTAATGATTTATTCGTTGCAAATACTTTTTTTCAACAATATACGCAGTGACTATACATATGGGCCACTACTCAAATATCAGTTTGTCATACTGTGGTGGTTTGCATGTTACTGTGGTGCTGGAAGCTTGCCACCAGTATTTTAAATAATAGCAGGGTCACCCATGGTAATAGGTTTCAGCAGAGCTTCCAGACTAACACAGACTAGGAAGAAGGAGAGGTAGACTACTTCTGAATATTTAGCCACTGAAAATTTATGAGTAGCAACAGAACATTGTTAGATATAGTACTTAAAAATGAAAGCATTATGAATAGCAGCATAGTGGTATCAGATATAGTGCCAGAAGATGAGTCCCTCAGGTTCGAAGGCACTCAAAATACCACTGGTGAAGAACTGCCTCCTCAAAGTAGAGTTGACCATGATAATGTCAATGATACTATGAATGGAGTAAAGCTTTCAAGATCTTCACTTGCTGATGGGGTAAAACTCACAATGAAGAGAAACAGCTGCAAACACATATTAATAATCAGAATGAAATGTATGTATGAATTCAGTAAAATTGGAAGTTATCAAAAATGATATGAAACAGAAAAAGATCGATATCCTAGGCAGCAGTGAGCTAAATTGACAGGTAGTGGCCATTTTGAATCTGAAAATCATATGGTTTGCTATGCCAGAAACAACAAATTCAAGAGGAATGATGTTACATTCATCGTCAAAATAAACATTTCAATGAAAAGAGAACCTACAAACAAAATTAATTCAACAATGAAAATTATGTGGAATAAAAATCCAGCAACACCATAAAAAAACACACACAGAAAAATGACAGTAATCAATTCATACCTATTGATATTTATACTGAATGTAAATGAATTAAATGTACCAGTCAAGAGACATAGAGAGCACAATGGATATGAATACAGGATCCTTCAATACGTTGCCTACAAGAGACATATCAAAAAGATGGAGGCAGCCTAAATGCCCATCAACAAAGGGATGGCTAAACACACATTGGTACATATATACAATGTAATACTACAAAATGTTGAAGAATAATGATGAATCAGTGAAACACCTCACAACATGATTGAATCTGGAAGACATTATGCTGACTGCAACGAGTTTTGGTATCATTCCTCCCCTCCCATTTTGTTATTGTTTTGTTTTTGTTTTTGTTTTTTTTTTTTTGGTTAGCACTAACCTTTTGCTACCCAATGACTCAAAATGTTTATAAATAAGCATTTATAATGTTATTTTTCAATGATTGACATTATAAAATCAGAAACATATTCCTGTGAGGAAGAATAAATAGAAAATTTTGAACCTGGAATTTAACTTATATTAAATATACTATGTTCTGGAGTATCCCAGGAATCTGTAACTTTTGAGAAGAACCTATTAGAAGTTCATTTTTCTCACAGCTGAAATCCAAGCTCTCTCTTAAGAAAAATGGCATCAAATGTTTATACCAGAGTTCCATTTCTTTTCCTGCATAAGGGAAAATTTAGGAAAACAGAAAATAACTACAAGATACATTTTTAAATGTAAGCAATAGAATATCTGCAATGGCATTTTTTTTTTTTTCATATTTCTCTGTGGTGCAGTTAATTATTGAATATGACGTTTCTGGGTATAGTCTTTGTAACTCCTACCAAACAACTGTCTGGGGCCATGTAGATAAGAGAAGGTGGCAGGATATGCTATGCTGATAGAGTTTTATGGTTCAGTTGCCAGTGAGTGTTAATGGGATTAATTGTGACTATAAAAACTTTGAACTCTAACAAGGGGGTTGGTCAGTTTGTTATCCTATTGGATTTTAAATGAACCATCTCAGAAGCAAAAGGTGGGGATCTTACGACCATCAAGAAAGAAGAGCTAGGAGTGGAACACATCCTTTGGATCCCAAGATTGAACTTCCTCAATTTAGGGTCAGAAGGCAGTGATACCACAGAAAAAGCAGAGAAGTGGCAGAAGAGCAGCAGCAGTAGAACCAAGATGCAGAGCACGAGAAAAAGTAGTAGACTTGCTGATACACAGAATGAATGAAGTGGAGTGCTTTTGGGCTTGTGGAAGGGGGTGTGTCCAGGCACATAATCATGGCAGTTAAGTTTGCTCTGAAACAGATCAGCAATTGCTCATTTGCAAGTTCAGGCTGAAGGTGAAGAAAATTAAAATAGTCTGCAAGAGCCAAAATATGACCTGAAGATATCCTATCTGAATTTAGACATGATTGGAAGAACAAATTCAATGCATTAGGCAGTAATGAATGAAGACCATAAGAGTTGTGGGATGACAACAAGAATATTATACAAGAAGAAAGCAAAAGGTCATTAAGAAGACAAGAACAAAATGGATGTCAAAAAAGACTCTAAAACTTGATCGATTATAGATGAGCTAAAAGGAATGGGGGGGTGGGTGGAATGAAGTAACAGAGCAGAGCAGAAAATTTCAAAGGGCAGCTTGAAAAGACAAAGTATTATAATGAAAAGTACAAAGACCTGGAGTGAGAGAATCAAAAGGGAAGAACACACTCAGCATTTCTCAAGCTAAAGAAATTAAAGAGAAAATTCAAGCTTTGATTGAAATATTGAAGGATTCTATGGGCAAAATATTGAATGATGCAGAAAGCATCAAAAGAAAATATAAGAAATACACTGCCATGGTACCAAGTAGAAATGATTGATGTTCAGCCATTTCAAGAGGTAGCATATGAGGAAGAATCAATGGTAGTGAAGGAAGAAGTCCAGGCTACACTGAAGGCATTGATGAAAAACTAGTTTCCAGGAATTGAGAGA